GCACGGCTAGACTGGAGAGCCAAGGCCTGGGGTGTTGCGGGCAGCCTGTGAGCAGAACAGCAAAGGATGAAGTCGGGGCAAGCACCGAGTCAGCACTGGTCATCATCCCCAGAGCAGCTGGGTCGTTGGACAGCGTGTGGCAGGGCCAGACCTGCATTTTGAAAAATCACTCTGGCTGCACCATAGAGCCGGACTGGAAGGAATGTACTGTGGGCTGGAAGGCCAGCGTGCAGGTCAGAGGTGACGGTGGCCTGATGGTGGGGTGGTGGGGGAACAGAAGAGCAGAGGAGAGATACGTAGAAACCTGAATTAATTGAGTTTTCAGACTTAGTGCTAGAGGTGGACAAAGGGCTGGCCACAGACGACGCAGGCCTTGAGTTTGAACCCTGGATGAATTCATGTTGGCATTTCTGAGGCACAGACACAGGAAGAATAGGTCTGTGGGAAGACAATTTCCGTCTGGATAACATTCTGTGCCTCTGGCCTGAGTGTAGGCGAACAGTTTTATCATGCATTCCCAGCTTCTTCCAGAATATTTATGGAGGCTGCGGAAGAACAATGTGCCCTGGACATGTCAGAGTGTGGGGCAAGGAGAGATGAGATCAGTGCCAGGCCTCATGCCTGGGGAGAGCCATCCTGAGTCCTCCTGCCAGAAAAGGGATGCATCCAACCTCCCTTTTAGGGAAGGGGTCCCCATCCCTAAGTTAAATGGCTTGACCAGGGATTGCCAGCCCTGTGAACAAGCATGGGCTTCTTCCATCTCCTCTGCGCTGGGGAGGGCCTGGCCTTCTGCCCCTTCCCTAGCCTCCTTCTCTGCTGAACTCTCTAGACCCTGGGCCAGAGGCAACAGTCAGAGCTGCTTTTGGTGGTAAGCAGGCACAGTGCTACGTATGGTCATGTCCACGATCTCACTCAATCCTCCCCGAGGCCCTATGAGGGTGGTACTGTCACCCCCATTCTAAAGACGAGGAAAGAAAGGATCAGAGAAGTGAGGAGGCTTGTCCCAGTCACATGGCTATTCCCTGTGCCTCAAAGTATTTTCACAAGATCTCATCACTGTTACCTGTGAAGACAGGGGCGAATGTGGCAGCGAGGATGAACACCGTGCCATGGGGTGGAGGTCCAGTGCCAAAATGGGAAGGGAGGAGCTGGAGAACCAAAGGAAGGGGCTGAGCCATCCCTCTCTTCCAGTACGGCTTCCCAGAAGGGAGGCCAAGCCTGTAGATGGATCCTCATGACCCCTCACCCTAGGCCCGCAAAATATAAAGTAAGAAGAGATACCTTTCCCTGCTCAGGTTGACACAGGCTTTGCTTTCTGGTCTAGAAGCAGGTAGGAGCAGGTGCAGCCTGGCTTTTCACTCCAAGCCAGGCAGGTGAAGACACAATAGCCTTTCTGCAGCTCACCACTAGGCCTGGAGCCTGGTACTTTAAAAGGTCCCCATGTATCCTCTGAGCCACCAAAAACTGTTTGCCAAAGGCAGCAGGGGTAGAAATAGCTATATTCATAGCCCATGCTATGTCATCAGGCACGCACAGCTGGGTTCACGGGGTCCCAGGCGTAGTAACACTGACTCCAGGTCTCACCCAGGCCTGAGCTTGGCCACACCTCTCCCCACATGTTAGCTCAGCGGTTCCAATCCAACGACGAGACAAATGTCTTAGGTACTTCATAACAGGATTCAAATGGAACGAATTCTTTTTTCCTCCCTTATCACTTTGCACACATGAAATCTATTTTTAATTAGCTTTCAATATATCATCTAAAAAAGAATCCTACAGCTTGCTCCCACCCCCAAATTGTTCTTAGAGAAAGAAAGATTTGTCTTGTACGTTTCTTAAGAAAATCTATATGTGCTCAATGCATTTAAATAACACTCATTAAAGTGAACGGCGCACAAGCTGGCTTCTCTAGTCACAGATGAGAGACAATCGCTTGACCTATTGCAAATCAAAAAGCATTTCCACACCACCTTTATTTTTCAACTGGTTAAGTTTTAAATTAAAGTCCCAATGCCCTTTTTGGAAAAGCAGACTAACAGGACCCCAACTGAAATTTTAGCTCAGTGGATCGGAAGATAATTACAAGAAACAAAATGTGAAATTTTAAATCAGGGCACTAATGAAGTCTAAAAATACCAGTGGCCCATCCCTCTGGCTGGCAAGACCTATTCTTCGTGGAGGGGAATCTCCCCATAATTACTCAACCCTGGGAGAGGCCAGGTTGTCACGTCAAACAATAGCCGGGAAAATCGGGGACTTTAATGAGCTAGATCTCAAGGCGTTGCATGGTGGATCTTATTATAATGCTGGGCAAGGTTTCAAACAGAGAACAGGAGAAAAGGAAAGTTCTTTTCTTTTCCAAAGTGGAGTTCTGACTTGTGTTGACGCCATCACGCAGAGCCTCCTGTTCCCGCCTGGAGCCAGCTGTCTGTCATTTAGGAGTGTGAAATCAATTGGGCTTCAGAGATGTAAAATCCTAAGGGGCAAAATTAAAAGTGACCCAAATCCAAGCCCACGTGGTCCTGTTAGGAGCATGACTCTCACACGGCAAGTTTCAAAGATTTAGTTTCAAAATTCGGGTTTCTTATTTTAAAAAATATGCAGTTGTTTGACATTAGGTCTGACAGACAAATTATAGCTTCAGCAATAAAGGCTTTTAAGATTAGAAATGAAAAGAGATTTACTTATACATTAAAAAAAAAAAAAAAACAAAACCCACCCAGGCTTGAGTTTGGAGGCATTTGTAGGCGCATGCATCACTCTTTCTTCCCCACAAATACAAGGGGATAAATCAACTGATGAGGCCGTAAATAGAGAAGCGAGTCACATGGAATTTCAAGGAAAGAGCCAGTGTGCTGGCAACCTCTGGAAATCAGGGTGATGGACGGGTCAGTTGTTGTCACTGACTGGTGGGTCTCGCTGGCTCACCAGAAGGCAGGGCTGCACCACACTTTCTAGGTCCACCCCATCCCTGGCCCTCACCTGGCCCTCAGTCTGCCCAGTGGGGCCTGGTAGAGGGAATATTAGCAGGGCCCCTATTTCTTGTCCCCTCCTGTCCATTGGCTCAGGACCACAGAGGATGGTTCACACCCTCAGGTCCCCGCACAGAGGTTACAGGAACAGCTCTGCAATGGTCATGGACCCCGTGGGCACAGAAGTCCTACAAGGTCCTGTCCCTGACACCTGTGTCTTTCTGATCTCATGGGCTCAGGGCTGACAATGTTTAGCTGCCTGCACCCAGCAGCTTCAGTGGGGTGGATCCCAGCTTGGTGCTGAGCCCCAAACTAGGGACTCCAGTCCTATCTCAGCTAGTTACCTTTTTGCACAAAACAGCTCCTTTTCCTAGATGCATGCCTGGAACGTGGCAAGCCAGCAAGATCTTGCATTAGCCCTAGAAGACCCCAGAGGGGCGATGTGGGGAGAGAATATGCTGCCTGGTGCCTTGGGCTTTGGCATAGCCTTGGAAGCAGGATTCCCACTGCCCAGTTGTCAGAGTTGGTGACTCATGAACTTGAGCTGGGAGTAAGTTTCTTTCTTTCTTTCTTTTTCTTTTTTTAAAGGGAGACAGAGCTTAACCAAAACAATTCAAACAAAAAATCAATTTAGTCATTTTTTAAAAAAGATCTTAAAGCAAGAGTTTACCAGAATTTAGAGGTAATTTTCTATAATTTCGTCATTTAAAACTAGTGCTGATTTCTAAAACAAAAGCAGTCAGGGCTCAGTCAGATTGGGAATTAAACCCGACCGCAACCAGACATGAGCTTTATTGTTGGGATGCTTGACAAGGCCTGAAAATTGCTTAAAATGACAAAGGAAGAGACTTGGGAGAGAACACAGGAGAGTGGCCAGTGGGGTTCCTTGCTCTGCTGAGAGGCAGAGCCCCCCAAAATGCTATCTCAAGGGGTTTTATGTGGGAAGGCTGGGAAGCTGTGCCCAGAGATGCATACTTTCTAGGACCGTCTAGTCTCCTCTTTCAAAGGAGATGTAGATACCCCACTGGGGCAGACTGCTTGCCGTGGACTCTTCTGCCCCCTCCTGCCAGGGAGCTGCCTGTACCTGGCAGTGGCCCAGCAGCCTTCCCCACTGCATCCAGCAGGAGCAGGGACTTGGCTTGTCTGGGGCGCTAAGGGCTAGGCAAACCTATAGCAGAGGAACCCAGCAAGCCTCATATGTGTGCCCTGGTCCTCCTGTCCCCTTCTGCCTTCCAGTCTGGACTAATCTCTCATACAGACATCAAGAACCGTAATCCTGAGACTGGGAACTCCAGCTAGGACCATGTCCAGCATGCATCCTTCCAGAAGCTCTGTTCTGAAGGCTTTACCTTCGAGTTCCCTGGAGTGAAACTCCTCTGAGGCTGGGGGAAGAGGGTTAACTGAAGGCTGAGGCTGGAGGTGCTCTTTCCCAAGGTCTCACAAAGTCACCCCTGGATCCTTGAAACGAAACATTCAAGTGCCTCAAGATGGTCTGGGAACGTCTCCTGTGCCTAACTAAATTGCCTTGGGCACTGCTCTCATCTGATGGCATGACCGAGGGTGCTTTCCCTGGGAAGGACACAGTTCATGCTCTGAATTTCCTCGTGGGTGGAACATGGAGAAGGCCCCAAAAGGGACTGTTCTGTGGTGCCCTAAGAGTGGATGACTCTCACCCTTTTGCATCTTGGCCTGACCTTGGGGGTTGGAGGTGAGAATGGCCAGGGCTTGGGCTGGAGGGGGCGGGCTCTGGGCTTTGCAGGCTCTCCCTTCCTTCCTCTTCCCGGGCTCCCTCTTCTTACCCAGGTGCATTTCCCCACCTTCCTTGACCCGCCCTCCACACTGTTCCCCTCCTTTCCCCATCTCAGGCCAGTTGTCTTGGGCAGGCAGAGGCTCCACTGCAGCCTCTGGGTTGGGGAGGCCAGTGAAGGAGCTGGCATGAAGCACACTCCTGTCCCGGTGGTGTTGCAGTGACCGCGCAGGGAGGTGCAGACGCAGGCCTGTGGGCAGGCACGTGGCAGCAGGACTTACCTCTGGGGTGCCCTGGGTCGGTGAACTCATACTTCCCCACGCCAATGGTCCGCAGCATCTGCAGCCCGTGGGCCGAGTCAGTTGTGGGGGGCCCATTGGTGGCAGGGGCACCACTGGGGAGAGTGGCGGACGGCTGGGCTGGCGGCGGTGGAGGCAGCAGGGGCCCTGCCATGTGGCCGTTGCCCACAGCGGTGGGTCCTGGGCGGGCCACCTGCCCCACACCGGGCAGTGTGGACACGGCCAGGGGCTGAGGGCTGGCATACAGGGCCTGGGCGGGCATGTTCACCACCACGCTGCTCAGTGGCTGAGAGGGCGGCTGAGGGAGCGAGTAGTGGCCTGGCATCAGCGGGAGTTGGGGCCCCACGTGGGGAGGCAGTGAGGGGGTCACCCCAATGACCGGGGCCTGGACGTTCACAGCCGGGCTGAAGGTGGGAGGCTGGGCCACTCCATAGGAGTGTGCGATCAGGGTGGGCTGGTTCCCGGCGGCCACCGTGGTCACCCATGGCCCTGTGCCTGCAAGGGAGATGGAAGAAACGTCATCTGCCGGTTACATATTCACTCAACAAACACTGACCACCCCAGGCCCTGCACTGGGTGCTGGGTCACAGAGGTGAATGAGACACCTGCGAACAGGAACTGACCGATTAGGAATCTGTGATCGTGGCAGCCCAGGATAAGTGTGCTGGGGGTCTATGAACAAACAGCTACTGGGGCTCAGAGGAGGAAGCAAGGCATGCCTGGGAGAGGTGAGAGGCAGCAGAGCAGAGAGAAGGAAGCAGAGCCCTTTGAGAGACTTGGGGACTTGGGTTCCACTCTCAGCTCTGCCACTTAGTAGTTAAGAGCCTCAGGAGCAAGTTCTTTTTTATTTTATTTTTTGAGACAGAGTCTCACTCTGTTGCCCAGGCTGGAGTACAGTGGTGTGATCTCAGCTCACTGTAACCTCCACCTTCTAGGTTCAAGTGATTCTCCTGCCTCAGCCTCCTGAGTAGCTGGGATTACAGGTGTGCACCACCATGCCTGCTTAATTTTTGTATTTTTAGTAGAGACGGGATTTTTCCATGTTGGCCGGGCTAGTCTCGAACTCCTGAGCTCAGATGATCTGCCCACCTCAGCTTCCCAAAGTGCTGGGACTACAGGTATGAGCCACCGCGCCTGACCTCAGTAAGTTCTTATTTCCTCTGAGCCTCATTCTTCTCATCTATTAAATGCAATTAGCAATACCTACCTCGGGGGACTACTGGGAAGAACTGAATGAGGAAGATGTATTTGGAAACAAAACAAAACAAAACAAAACTAGCAGAGTGTCTGGCAGGTGGTGAACGCTCCATAAATGCTGGGGTTTCTCCTCCCTTTCTGCAAGCTCGCCTCTGAAGGAGGCAGGGGAAGGGGATGGTGGAGACGGGGGTGTTCACTGGGCCCTCAGGTGAGGGCACTGGAGCCTGGTCCTCGCAGGAAGGGAGGGGCCCGGGTGGGGGACGTGTGGAAAGGCTGGCCAGGCCTTGCTGGGGAGGGCGGGCCTTGTGCCAGGCAATGTAGACACGGCCAGCCGTGGGGGAAACAAGAGAACTCCACTTTAGTCCTTAAGAAAACTTTGGCTGAACAAGGTGGGGTCCAGATACACCTCTTGAGAGCCGACGCAGAGGCCAGGTCAGCTGTGCCAGGCGGGGTGACCTAAGGGGGCTTGTGAGGGAAACTGGGAGACATCATGACAGGGAAGGCCAGTCTGGGCTGCCTCTGACTGAATGAGCCTGGGGCCAGGTCTCCATGGCCCAAATGCTACCTTGGCTTTCACAGCTGCTCTGGGGTGGCAGCGTAGACTGAGGATGGGGAGAGAGAGGGAGTAGGGGGCAGAGGGCCACTCAGCACCACAAGCCCCACAGGATGGAATGTGGAGCTGGGAGCTCCCTCTCAGAAAGAAAATGGCGCCAACGTGGGGCAGGAGCTAAGATGGCGGGTCACTACCAGACCACTGTCCAAGGGAGAGCCACTGGCTGGTGGTGAGGAGCGAGGCTCAGAGTCACATAGACCACGGTACGAGGCCTGCGTCGCCCCTTCCCAGCCGAGGGACCGTAGGCCCAAGCTTTTCCCGAGCCAGTTCCGTAAGCATTGTGATGATGCACAGAACAGGACGTGCAATACATGTGCAACACATATTTATGATTTTGATAATGAGAGAGGTCAGGGAGAACTGGAAGCCAAGAAACTTCAGTGAAGTCATGGCAAGATTCTAGAACGGGCTGCTGATGAGAACTGTCCCCAAACCTGAAGAGGGGAGGTGGTGTCATTATGAGCCAGCCTGGGTGTCTTAGGCACAAGGCATGTCATCCCAAGCTCTGCTCTTTTCAGGATTAGCCAGGGAGCCTGGAAAAATGCGTCACAACTTCAGAGCACAATGGGCGGGGCCCCAGGGGACTCTGTGGCAGAGACACAGAGACACAGTGCCATGGAGGTGATTTACTTATGATGTGGTGAATGGTCCAAGGGTACAAGAGACCTAAAGAGAAGTCTCTAGTTATATGTGGCAAGCTCCCAGCATTTTAATCCATGACTTGGTCCTGACGTGGAGTCTGCAGGGAACATAATTGGGAGGGGTGGGGTCAGCAACAGAAGCTGGTGTCTAAGAGATCCTAACAGTAAACAGGGGGACACTGATGAGGGCTTGCTATTGGGTCCCCAAACCCAGCTGCCTAAGCCCAACTGTGAGGACATGAACAGGGGTAACTGTAGCTGCTGGGGCATCTTGGGGTGCTGTTTAGGCAGCATGTGACGTGGCTACTAGCTGAGCAGTGATGAGACCAGAGGTGCTGAAGGAAGCACGTGCCGGGCAGACCACTCATGGGCTATTTGCATTGAGTTCTGGATGCTGCACTTCAAGAGGGATGCAGGGGGCAGAGCAAAGCCCTGGAAGGCAAAGGGCCTGGAATCTATGGGCTGTGGGGCATGGCTGAATAGCCTGGGGTGTTTATCCTAAGACTTTGAGAGGGGCATGAAAGGGGTCTCCTGGCACCTGTGGGGCTGTTGTATGGAGGGGCAAACTGAGGTGTTCTGTGGATCCTAAGGGAGGGCTCTGGGGCCAACGGGAGATAAAAGAGAGGGCATTCATTATGGCTGGAGCTGTCCAAAGAAGGGCTGGGATGTTGTACGAGCTGGTGAGTTAATTCCCAGTTCCCGAGGGTAGAACACCCCAGTTGTCATACAACCATTAGCAAGGAAAAACCTTACTGGAAGGCATGTCTCGAGGAATTTGTTATGAATCAGAGTACCCAGGTTTGGGAATGATGATTCAAAAGAATCCGGAGCCAATTCAAAGTCACCCCAATAATGTCATTCTCACTCCCTTTGCTCTCTGGAGTCCTTGAGTAGCAGAGAAAGAAGTAGAGAGACAGCTCCTTCACAGGGAATTACACACAGTGCCTTTCCCCCTGAACCTGACGAGGGGGCTTCTGACCCTGACAGGGTCAAGACCTGCTGTGCAGGAGTTGGGGTCCCCAAGAAGCCTCCAGCTTCTCACCAAGCCCTGGGCTCAGTCGTTTCTATCTGCCGACGAGGGACATACCTGGATTGTCAGTCTCCCTCATCTGTTTGGAGGGTGGCTCATCAGTGTCCCAGGGTGTGGACTGATTGATAGGCGTCTGCCCCCACCGGATGCTGGTCGCCAGTCCCTGGGACTGACTGTCTGCCTTGGAGATGCCAGGAGCCTGTGGGAAGCAGATGAGGAGGTGAGCATGGCCTGGCCAGGGACCATTCTCCAGAACAAGACTCCCTAGGAGGGACCTAGCCTCCAAAACAAGCCTCCCGTTGCCTAAGCTTCGCCCACTGAGCACAGGGTCAGAGACAGAGCCTACTATGGTTCTGCCATAGTAGTAGCAGCTGGGACCTCTGCTAAGCTCCTGCCTCTAGGAACACCCAGGCCAGTGCCTCCCTGGACACCCTCCGTGGCCACTCACTCTACCAGCCCTATCACAATGGGAAGAGCGTTCTGAGCTATGAGATGGGATCTCCGGCCCTCGGACCATCCACAAACCACAGCCACACGGATGCTACCAACTTATCAGGGCATGTGCTGAGCACTGTGTGCCCAGCCCAGCCTCTGTGTCACCACTGGCTGGCTCTTGGACACAGGAGAGGACAGCTTTCCAAGGGGCCACCGGCAGGTAGCAGGTGAGGGACTTTATACCTTTCCCATCCTGCCCCCACCCCAGCCTCTGAGGCCCAGTCGTCCTATGGAGGAGGCGTGGGGAAGGTGGGAGCTGAGGCCCATGGCAGGGACAGCTCAGATACTGCTCCTAGGTGGACGGTGGGACCCTCAGCTCCTCTGTGCAGGAAGGAGGCAGGCTTTCCGCTCTGTGAGTCCACTCTCTAGCTCAGATTTGCAGATGAATGAAAAAATAAACCTCAGAGTGAAAAAACAAAAACAAAAACAAAAACCACCAGGACAGCATTTGTCTCCCTGAGCCACAGCCTTATAACGGAATATTATATAGCTATCAAAAATCATGTGTGAAGAATTCTTGATGACAAAATGCTTACACTATAATGTTTAATGAGAAAAACAGGCCCCAGAATGACACACAAATGGCCTCCCTATGCAAACACACCTGTGTCAGACAATATATGTAGGAGGGAAATGACCAAAATGTTAACAGGGATGTTATTCTTGGGTGAGGGGATTATGGGTAACTTATTTTATTATCTATACTTTTCCGTATTTTCCTTTTTTTTTTTTTTTTACTATGGCCATTATATATATAGGCAAAAAACAAACAAACAAATGAAAATACTCCTGGAAACATGCTGGAGAGGTTGGGATAAGATACCTGGGATATGCGGGGGTGTGGGTGTCAGGACAGGTGGCCCTGGGAAGAGTGAGCACAGTTCCTCAGAGCACAGCCAGAGCCCAACCAGGTGTGGGATGAGGGGTGGATACGGATGCCCACCGGGAACAGCCACAGAAGAACACAGGAGCCTCCAGGGGCATCTGCAGGCCTCTCAGGTGAGGACCATGGTCCTTACCGTGACTTCTGATGAAACCTGACCCAGGAACCCAGCTGGTGGGAGACAGGGCCTGCTGCTGAGCCCCTCTGACCAGAGTGGCTCTCCTGGGTTCTGTGCCAGGCACAGAGAGGGGGTGTGGATAGGGAGGCTGGGCAACACTTGGGGCTTTGACGCATAGTGCAGACGACACACAGCGCCTCCATAAGGGCCTGATGGAGGAGCGGGAGCCGTATCCCATTAGGACCTGTGGGCTGCGCTCCGCTAATTGCATCAGGCTGCACTTTATCTCTGGCCTGCATTTCAGATGCTTTGCTTCTGTGAACAGAGCAAGAAACAAAGGAAAAGGGTGAATCTCCTGAGAAAAGAACAATTCAAGGGACAAGCTTCCTTATCAGAGGGCCTGCCCCATTTCTATCTGTGGGACAGGCAGAAGCTGGGAGGAGAGGGGGTTGGGGACTTCGCTGCACTCACTCATAGTCTTAGGAAACAATAGCATGGTTTTTCCAGCATTCTCCAAATAGACAGCTTTGCCCTGTCTGAAGGATCGATCCACTCTGCAGCCTTCGTCGTATTTCCAGGCTCTCAGGTCCTGGTGGCTCAGAGGTAGGGAGACTGCTTTCCTCGGAATCAGAGGCATCCGAGGGAGAAGGAGCCTATGCCAAGTCCCATGCCGTCCCCGGGAGCAAAGTGCAAATGCTAAGATTCCAGCCTCATGACCGGCACTCCCTTCACGGACAGCGCAGAAGCCCCTCCTGCCTGGAGGAGGTGCTGCAGCCCCTCTCCGCCTGCGGGATCCTGGAGGGGTCCCAGGCAAGAGGCTGTTGAGGTTTTCAGCATCCTCCAACAGACACTCTTCTCCCCTCTTGAATCACACTCCGGCCTGGCAACTTGACAGGGAAGGGAAGCTTCTGGAAACTTGCCCTGGAATAGCCCCTGCCTCCAGGAGAGGAGGTTGGGGTCTCCTCAAGTTTGGGTCCTCATGTTCTGAGCACTAAAACTTCAGGAGTTCCAACGGTCACCCTAAAATCGTTGGAGTTTCTGAACTTGAAAAAATCTCACTTTTCCAACACAGATTGCTCAGCCCCTTGGCTTCAGAGCACTCCTGCCGCTCATTCATTTAGTTTGTTTCTTCTGCCTCAGGTCTATATCGGGCACCGCTCTAGGCACTGGGGATGCGGATGACCGAGACTCAGCCCTGCCCTCAAGTGGCTGCTGCGTCACAGTGGGAGGACTCGATACATGAACAGCTTGAGGCAAAGACGCTGGGGTGTCCCGGGTGTGCAGAGGCGGGCCCAGATGGGCTGTGAGCAGGCGAAGTGGGCTACAACCGGCCTGCTATTTGGCTGTGTCGTTCATGAATACTACAAGCAATTTCTTATGTATAAGAAAGCAGCTCTGTGGTGAGAACCAAAAGTCTTTTTTTTTTCTTCTTTAGGAAAGATACACAAGGCTACCCATTTTCTACTAAGCACTCACAACATCTGAAGCTACAAGCAACCTGTAGTTCAGGAATTTTATTTATTTTATTAAAATAATGCAATGACATTCCTTCCTCCACTTTCTCCAGAAAAAACCTGGACACGGGGTGTGCCCTTTGCCGAGGAGCCTGGGCCCCCAGGTGGGTGACATGCAGAGCCACTGGTGATGTGCGTCAGCGCAGCCTGACCACAGCCCCCTCTTGCAATGAGTTCCAGGCCCTCAGTAAAGCCACATGGTCCCTGGGTTCTGGAAGCTTCTAGGGGACCATGTTCAGGTCCGTGGGTCCAGCTCTGAGCCCAGCTCCTGCTAACTCTTTCCTCCCATGGTTCACAATCCCCGCAAGCCCAGGCCACCCTGATTTCCATGCCTCCTGGTCTGGGGGTGCTGACGACACAAGAATGCCATGAAAACCAACCAGGAGAACTTAGCCTGGGCAGCAGGGAGGAAGGCAGAGTTGAGCAAGCCTCACCTCATGCCCTCCCCCTGCCATCATCTGGGACACCAGTGAAGCCACCCAGACCTTTGGCCGTTCCCCAGTGTTCCTTGCCATGCCTTCTGCTCCACTGACATGATGGCACTTGGCAGAGAGAGGCAGACCAGGAGAGCCTCTCCGTGCCTGGCCCCACGGAGTGGCCCTATCTGCCCATCATCGGGCCTGAGCAGGCTTCTCTTGGCTTTCCTTTAATGAGATGCTAATGGGATGCATCATTAACGCAGACGCTTTTTAAACCCTGAGCTCTTGTAAATTTTCAAAGGTCACAGTTTTATGGCAGCTGACAGCATCCTGCTTCTTTCGGCAACTGAAGAACACTAAAGACCCAGGGCCTGTATGGTTGAAGCTCTTTGTGAGGCAGTGCAGAGTGGGAGGCACCTGCTGACCATGGGGGCTGGGGGCCTCCACATTGCAGCAGTCTCAGAGGACACGTGGGTTCACTCCACCAGCTTGGGGGGAACCAGTCGTGCACGGCCCACAGAGCTGCTCTGAGGGACCTGCTTAATTTAGGGAAAAGTGTGTAGGGCCGTAGGTGGTGTGCAATGAAAGATGCCTAGTAGAGGGCGAGGGGCTGACACTCACCCGGGGAGGCAGGAGCAGTGGATGCCCATGGAGTACCCTTTGCTCAGCGGGCTGTGGACCCAGGAGTCTGTGACACACAGCCCCGAGATGCTTTTGCTAATTTGTCTGCCCAGAGGAAACACCTTTTTCTACTTTGCAGAAAGGTACCGCATAGACTAGCAGTGTCCTGCGTGGCAAGAGAGGTTTGAGGTTTGAGAGATGGCAGGGACTCCCCTGGGGTCCTCCCAGGCCTCGCTTGTTCTCACCTCTACTCTCTGTGCACCCAATGACCACAGTACTTAGCGCACTACCCCCAGGACCTTGTTTCTGCCCCATCTTTGCAGGCAAAGCTCCATAACTCCAAGAGGGCAGGGTCTCTGAGCTACACTGTTGGCCAATGGAAGAAGCATGCATCACTGTTGGCTCGATGAATGAATGAATGCACAGGGTGGATTCCAGGGAGAGTGAATGACACGAGTCACAGAGCAGAGCAGTGAAACAGCACGGTTCCCTCACTGGGGGGCTGAGGTTTCCATATCATGGGGGCCGTGTATGCTGGGGCCCTTAACACCGTTGTCCTGGATGCTGCTGGAGCCCTGGATGGCCCAATCCACTGACCAGCAGAACCCGTCAGCCCCTCCGGATGCCTGGATACGATCAAGGCATGGACACTGAGGGGTGACTACTGCCTCTGTTGAGCTGGGGGGACCTGGGGGAGTCTCCTGGAGAAAACAGAACACAGCACCCTCCACTATTTGCCCAAGGATGTCAGAAGAGGGTGAATCAATGAAGCCTCGAGAAGAAGCTTCCAGAAGAGATGGGCTGGGGCTGGGCCACAAAAGCTAGGCAGGATTCAATCTGGCAGATGGATTGGGGCCCAAGTCACCAAAGGACCCCACAGCAAACAGTGCATTTTCAGCCTAGATACATCTGGCAGAGACAGGCTTCAGAGTCCACTTCCGGGGTACACGTGGGCCTTTTCTGGAGGGATGATGATGCCAGCACCCACAGCTCTCTCCTGCCAAGGAAACTGTCTCCCAGACCGGAACCTGCAGGCCACGATGCCCTGTACCATGTGGTGCAGACACGGCTGGCAGGGTGGCCTTCTGCTGAGCATCACTGAGCACCCTCTCTGGGCCAGAGGCACCACCAGGTACCAGGGATCCGTAC